GTTCGAAGACGGAATGACAGAACTGAAGTATTTCAAAAATTTAAAATTTGTTTCTATCATAGTTGCGTATAAATAATTTAAAGAAAGTATTGCCATCGCTACAGATTATCCAGACAGACGATCAATACATTTTCAGCACGAAATCAATGAACACCTTGCACTAAATGCAATAAACACTTTGAAGATATTCAGTAAAATTGATAAATTTATGAAGTAGGACTTTACTGCTCACAAACCAAATGGATGTTCGTATACAGTAGATCCTCCTATAAAACGCGTTGATCTATGACGGCTAAACTAATTACAAATAAAATACGTATCAGTAAAAAGTAAGATCATAAAAATCTTTTGAATGTGACGTTTTAAGTCGCCATACCTTCATACAAAGACTTTTCAAACTTAGCTGTTACATGGGAAGTCGTCGAAGAAGTGACCCAATCGACATTGTTCTTAATAGTGACTATCCTTTAGCCAAAACACCAAACAGTATACTTATTTTTACCAAAACATCTCAAAATGTGTGGCCTGTGAACATCAGACAGACGGACAAAACGATTTAGGAAATAATTTTGGATCTCCAAATCTTGTAATGAAAGCTAATTCTACCTCAATCTCCTCTGTGTGTTTCATATCTTTGCACAAAATGAATGGACCTCGTACCACAGGTGGTGTAAGGTATTTAAAAGCCGGAAGGACGTGAGCGCGTCCCACATTTTTTATTATAATCAAAAAATGTTTCTGAATCAATCTAAGATTGTCTATAGCATTCTCAGAAGACGTAATCTATGTATTTTTTATTGTGTTATGACGAAAATTTGTTCGTAATAGCAATTTGGCATAGAAATGAAGTGAACCAAATTTGAAATACCTGATTCCATTTTTTGAACCCCGCTCCATATAAAATTTTTAATGAGCGGCAAGTCCTTTCGGAAAAGATTTAGTTTTTAATGTTTTACTATGAACATTAGTCCATAGTAGAAATTTAGGAAAAAAATTAATGGTAGAGAATTTGGATCACATATGTCTGTATTTTAAACCGTAACATATACAGGGATTATCACGGAAAGCGAGCCCGTATATAGAGAGATAGTATAGTCTAGTTTTCTATGTGGGAAATTGAGAAATTAGAAAATTTTTCGAAAGTAAATTAAGTTTGCTAAAATTGGATCACCTCCAATGTAGGCCCCTTCATAAAAAATATGCCTTTGCATAAAAATAATGTATAATTTATGGTACATTGCTACTAAAACGGGCGACTGACTATACTAGGCGAAATGGTGCAGGCATCTAATAGGCGGTCTCGCCTAACTATTATGTTCTTATTTGTTTTCTATATAAGAAGTTAATCGCTTTGCCTGACTCATGCATTCGTATAATTGAAATGACTCGTGCGACACGGTTGCACACATGCAACAAATAAAGCGGAACGAATAATCCGAAGGAATACCACAGGTGAGTCGCTTCAGGAATATAATCGTTTTCATTCGTCTCTTTTGATGTTCTGTCGTGACCATCGTTCTGTATTTCCCATAAATAAGTTTTGAGATTGAAGCTTAGGTATCACACACAAGTAAATTTGACGACAGAGCAATTTTCTCGTCTAAATGAGGAAGTAAATGGAATTTTTTGATACGATAATGACAAAGAGTGAAGAGAATGAGAAAGAGAGATGGATAGATAGATAGATAAAGCGAAAAAGATAGAAAGAGATAGGAAGAAACCGCCTCTATGGTTTTCGCATAAACTAGACGCAGTTTTCGGGAACTGTTTGTATCCTAAAAACAAAGTTGAAGTAATTTATAGAATAAGTTAAAAAAGATAGAATAAGTTAAAAGACGCCAAACTAGACTATATCGATCTATTAATCGCATTTTTTAATCACTTACTTACACGAAACCAATTGAATGCGAGTACTGTGCTCGGAACCAGACAAGGTGGCTAGATTCATAGGGATTCTCAAGCTGACGGACTAGAGGCATGAGCGAGTGTTATAAATCTTTCAGGTCTTAATACATATTGTTCGCACAACAATACCACTGCCAACACGATAACAGTTTGCTGGCTCGAGCATTTCATACTTTTCATCGGATCATAAATAACGTACGATGAAAACAATCGTAGGAAGTATACCTTTGTAGAATAATAACTTTGTTATTTATCGTATAAAACTTTATTTCGGCTCCCGGTCTATATATATAAGTAGTTTTCAACGATATATATTTTGCAATTTTTTTCTTTGTTTTTTTTTTTTTTAATTTATTTCAGTTATTTAACTTCCGATAAGCTGTTATCCAATTTTCTGCCACTTTAGATAATTTTATTATTCTACTATACCATCACCGTATATATCATCCCAAACTTTGATTTTCTCTATTATTTGTTTCGGCATGTCAATGAATCTCAGTTCACAGGCAATACTCATCCATTTGCAAACACCCGCCGTTTTAATATCATGCCAACTGCATATATATTCACAATTCGGATTTGATGTCTTGGCGAACGCTGTCCACATTCGAATCATACGTCTTATAATAAAATATTCTTGACAGTAGTTATCGAGCTTAGACGAATAATATGAATAGAAGAGATACGACAAATCATCGCCATGAGCAACGCCTTCGGTAAAATCACCACCAGAGAGTAGTTCGCGATGATGATTAAAGATGGGCGAGTCGAAATCAAAACAGTACTGATAAGTGGGCGCTTTCGCATACTTCAAACGAGCTAAGAGAAATCGGTGAAGGCCGTGCCAGATCATGCGATAAGAATAGTACTTGAAATAGAAAAGATTTTCAATTTGTATTGTAAAAAATTCGCCCTTTTAGGATTGATAAAAATCAAGTAAGAAGACTATAATGGGACACGGTGCACTATTGAACCGTTCCCCAGAGAGCGGTCTAGAAAGATTTGAGCCATTTTCAGCGGCGTTCGCCCTTGGGCGAAAAGACGCCAATGCCCCAGATTGCAATAAATCTCAAAAATTTCGCCTTGTAGGCTGAACACAAGAAAATAGATCAGTCGGATGGACAGAAGGGTCAGAAAAGATGGGTAATTTTAAAGTCCTTTTAGGTGTTGCATACACCCGCGCATACTTAATATATCTTTATATCACAAACGGAGGAATATATCCTGCCAAATAATAGTGCAGATGAATAAGTTCTTTTTGAAACTGTAGTGTTTACGAAACAGTGTATCCTGAACAAAACTTAAATTTAAGTTATGAAGACTAAAGTCACTAACTCGTGTTGGTCCCATACTCATCTATCAGATTTATGTATAGAGATATTCCCGCATGGTAAGTAGACATAACTGTGAAAGAGCAACGTTCACGGATTCGAATGTTGGTGCGGAATAACATGCTTAGTTGTACTTAAGGTAAGTATTCAATTGGGAAAGCATAACCCTTACCGATTGAAAGCGCAACATTATGCTAACTGTCTATTTGTTTCTCTTCCCTCACTTCTATCTGTCATTGTATTTGCCCCTATAGGGGATATTCCCTAAGTGCTTAGTTCTACTGAATACTAAGAAAATAAAGAATCCGGAAAAAGTAACGAAGCTAAAACTGAATCTCTAGGACATATCAACAAGCTTTGTTGAAGATTTTTGGCCCTGTTACGCTACTGATGCTTACATTTGAGGCTAAAAAAAATAGCTTGAAATTTCAATGTATACTTACATCCAAAAGTGAACAAACATTATCACCAATTGTCTGCTTTTCGCCAAAATGCAATTTAGATAATATTTTTGCCATATTTGTGCATTCAATGGGAACATCATTGGGAAGAAGTTTGACTCGTTTATTTTTCAATCTTTCCACAATTTCTGGTAATTTTTTCAATATTGGGTACATAGATAGGCCTTCGAATGATGTGCCACCGACAATAAGCGGTATACTGTTACCCCAACCGGATTTAATTAATTCCCAAATTGGTCTTGTTATAATAGAATCCTCACTTTCATACGGTTCAATCGAGGGCATAAAGGCATATAAATAACTCTTATATCGTCCTACTGTGTCCAGATCATCTATATCAATTAATTTTTCGGCAGGTACTGCTTGTAAGAATTCCAAAATGCATTTATCATTGTTCCGAGGACCTTTATATCCTTTCCTACACGCAACAAGATACGTTAATTCGATGGCATCATTACTGATGGCCCAATCGTGTAACATGCAACCGGATTGACAAATTGCTTTATGAAATAAATTACGAGCACGATCTGTGCTAAGCATATAATGAACTGAAGATCCTCCCGCATTCTGTCCGAATAGGGTAACATTATTAGGATCACCGCCAAAGTAACCGATATTGCATTTAACCCATTTTAAGGCTAATACTTGATCTTTCAAACCAGCATTGCCAGGTACTCCTACATCAGGGTCAGAAAGGCTAAGGAAACCTATAAAATATATGAGTAAAGAAACGACGAAAGTAAGTTCAATGTAATTACTAAATAAACCTTACCGATCACTGATAGACGATAATTGAAAGTAACTAAGACTACGTCTTCCATCATGAAATAGTCCGGGCCGTATATGTAATCTCTGATGCAACCACCAGTACCAAATCCACCGCCATATATCCATACTAATACTGGCAATTTTTTGTCAGTAAATATCTAAAGATTTTTGCAAACCAACAACAATTAATTGCGATCGTTGTTTTGATTAACGAAATTTTGCATACATTTTTACTAAAAACGTTCAAATATAGGCAATCTTCAGAGCCTTCTATTTCACCATTTTCATTCTTCTGTAACGGCTTATGCTTAAATTGTAAGCAATCTTTAACGCCGCTCCAACAGGCAATGGGTTGCGGTGACTTGAACCGTAAACGTCCTACAGGTGGCTCAGCGAAAGGTATGCCTTCAAAGCTATAATACCAATCGCCATAAATTGATTGGACTTTCAAACCTCGGATGCAGCCTTGAGTTATTTTCAAAGATTCATAATGTTTACTGGAAACATGATTTGAAAGCATCAATTCATTTAGGTTATAATATTTTTACATACCCAGAATCATCTTCTTTTGCGAAACCGAAAGTATTTAATAATTTTGTGACACCGGAAGTTAGCATTTTTTAAATTAATAAATAAATGCTTTTAGGCAGAAAATTTGTTTTGTGTTTTGTGAGTGATATCAAATCAAACAAAACAAAAAAAAGCCCGACAGTCATCCTGTTTGAAGATAGAATGACAAAATCCGTCAAAGTTTCAAAATTGAAATATATTTCAATTGCAGCCTTACTTAAGTACTAGGTGCACCTTGTGTGGGAAGCAGTCTAACTGTGCCACAAGCACAGTTACACGCTACTAAGTTCTTGCAAGTATTTCGATCATTTTTCCATTTGAAAATGGTATTTATTGAGAAAAATCGGCATAATATATGTTAATCGATATATTTACCATCACTTTCTACAACTTTTCTCCATATTGACTTGGTAGGGATCCAGACATCGACTCATTTTCGTGCAAAGGGGGTTATGATGCGGAACCATCACCATAAGCTTCTCAACGTGTTTGATTGGCTTCGGAAATGGAAAACAGTTATCTTTTGTAGAGAAAGATCAAAATCATCGAATTTAACTTTTGTGCACATCGATATTTTGCATGACTTTATAACATTCACGAATAGATGTCGCTGATCAAAATGTATTTGCAGGCGTCTCTTAGAAAGACCGACGCCTAACACGGTGATGGTTGGAAAGATGTAAGGAGAGGGAAAGAAATAGGAAATTGGACGCAGACTTAAGGCAAAGTGTTATGGCTATATCAACTGAGCTGTCACTATAGCTACAAAGAAAATCTACTCTGCTACCCTAAGATGTGAATTTGAATTCATTTGAGGTCTAATTTCATAAGTTAATTAATAACAATCGATTAATAAATTCATAAGATTCAATATGTGCGATCGTAAGAATTTCAAAAGCAAGCTCAAAGAGCTGAAGGACATGTATATGGTGATATCTAAACATTTGCATATTTGCAAAAAATTCCATTCCCTCTAGAGCCAGATAACTGTATATTCTCTTCACTTATGACCTTGCTTGCTTTCAACTAGCTAAGAAAACGTCAAATCGCTTAGATAATCTCCTAAGTAAAGTGTAACTGCTGTAGTATTATTACTATTATATATTCATTGAATATAGTGTATTTTTAATGTGATTTATTATGCTTGCTTTGCTTATTCATTCTAATCGAAAATTTAGTTAAGGTTAATTGATAATATGACTGTAGCTAGAACCTACTTTAATCTAACCTTAGCTGCAACCTAGTTTAACCGATAAACCAATTTATCAATAATCTAGTAACCTTCGCATTCACCTAGTCAGTAATAACCTAAGAAATGAAATACTAGAAGTAAGCATAGCTAGGCTAAGACCTTTTCAAGATTGCAACTCCAGTTATCAATAACCAACAAACATTCAACAGTCTAAGTAAAGTGGTCTGTAGACCTCAGTGTTATGTAACAAGCTCGCACTAAGAAGAGACTTCAATAAAAATAATTTAACTTTAACGAACAGTTAAACACGGATGCTTTACTACTCTGCAGCTTGTATTTAGCTTTGAGAATAAATTACTTTAGATAAGTGGAATATTATTAGATGATTCGAAAAGAAATCTCGTTTCCCCGAGTCCTTTTCAGTGTGTAAATATTTTATCAAAAACAGTAGACTGCAATAGATTTAAACTCTCAGCGATCTCACGTGTCTTCATTCGGCGGTTCGCTTCATTTAGTATCTTTATTTTGCATAAGTGTCAAAACGAAATATGGTAAACCAGTTTTGGCACTGTCGTTCAACAAGTCCTTAACGCAATTAATGGTTTTTTTTTTTTGCGTGACCATCATTTTTAACTTTTCGCTGACATTTGAAGTAAGGTAGACCGAAAATGCTGTTTTTCACCTTCCATATTTGGTAAGGCAGCGAACGAAACCTTTTGCTCAGAATCAAACAAGACTTTTCTCATACAAGCATTATTGTTATAGCTATTAAATATATATGAAGTCGGTGCGCTTTAACGGTGATCTTGGCTGTGAAAAAATGCAGTTAAATGAAATCTTGGAAATAAGTGAAATGACTTTCTGAACAAGACGCCTTTTAATGAAAAGTTCTTTTTTCCTTCGACTAAATTAGATTTTCATCAAATACCTTTTTAATAAATATTCCTTCTGACCTAGTTAATGTAATATCTTTTTATTAAAATAAAACATTTTCTTTAATAAAATTTATAAAACCAAACATTTACCATATAAATTATCCCAAACTTGAAATTTTTCTTGCACTTTTTTCGGCACATCAACGAATTCCAATTGATTCCCAATGTTCAACCATTTATTTTCACCCGCACTTGCAACATCTTGCCAATTGCTTATATATTCACAATTTGGATTTGATGTCTTAGCAAATGTTGCAAATATCTTCACCATGCGTTGTATCGTTAAAAATTCAGCTGATTTTTCGTCAAGCCTTCTACCAGAAAAATAAGAGTAAAATAGATAGCACAAGTCGTCAGCGTGCGCTACACCTTCCGTGATATCGCCACCGCAAAATAGGTCACGAAAATGATTAAAATCTTTTGAATCGAAATCAAATACATATTGATAAGTGGGCGTTTTCTTCGCATACTTCATGCGGGCTAATACAAATCGATGAAGACCATGCCAAAATAAACGATAAGAAAAATACTTGAAAAGAAAGAAGAAACAAAATATATTTAACAATATCAACTAATCTAGGATTCTATTCCCTCAATAGGCAAAAGTACAAAATAGAGAGCATGTGATGATGAGGCGGTATTTGAAAGATCTTTGCACATGTGTCTTAAAAGAAATTTTTCACAAAATTTAGCTGAGGGAGGTTAGATCCAAAGCTTATTTCGGCAATTAAGTTTTGCATCTATTTCTTCCCGCTATATAAAGCAGAAGAAGGAAACTTCGCAATCGGATAAGCAGACAAACTCAAATAAAAATGGAATTAAATTCTGTACCCGAGGCCTTGTTTTACCGATTATTAACAATCAGATCTAAAGTCCAAAATAAACAATAAAGTCTTAAATAAAATAAACCTAGTTTAAAAAAAAAAAGCAAACTTACATCCAAAACGGGTAAAATGTTTTCTCTTCCTACGATTTTATTAGCAAAATGTACTTTAGTTAAAGTCTTTGCCAGCTCTTCACAACGTTCAACATGTTCTTTCTCTTCGCAATTCGTTGGAATATCATTGGGCAGAAGTTTTACAGGATTTTTTACAATGTGATCCAAAAAATCCGGTAATTTCTTCAATGTCGGATAATAATATAAACCCTCAAAACTGCAACCACCGATAATAAGTGGGATTTTATTACCCCAAGCATTTTTTACAATTTCCCACACCGGTTTCGACATAATGGTGTCTTCACATTCATACGGTTCGATTGAGGGTAAGAAGGCGTACAAATAGCCTTTATATCGTGCCATAAGATCGAGATCACCTATATCGATCAATTTTTCAGCGGGTACTGATTGTAAAAATTTCAAAATGAGTATATCATTATCCCTAGGACCCTTATATCCTTTTCTGCAGGCAAGATAATATGACATTTCGATGTTATGATAGCCCACGGTCCAGTTATGTAAAAAGCTACCGGATTGGCAAATGGCCTTTTGAAATACATTTTGAGTATGTTCCGTGCTAAGCATATAATGAACTGAGGCTCCTCCGGCACTCTCACCAAATACACATATATTACGTTCATCGCCTCCAAAAAGTTCGATATTTGCCCTGACCCATTTTAAGGCCAATACTTGATCCTTTAAACCGGCATTACCCGGTACTTTTGCAGCAGGATCGCAAAGACTGAGGAAACCTAGACATCGGGAGACAAAAAAGGAAGACATATTTGCTAATGCAAATGGTCGTGAATGTGATATTACCGAACATTGATAAACGATAATTGAAAGTAACTAAAATCACTTCTTCCATCATGAAATAGTCTGGTCCAAAAACGTATTCTTTGGGGCAACCTCCTTTAACAAATCCTCCACCAGGTATACATACCAATACGGGTAACTTTTTTATAGGACGTATCTGGAAATTTTTTCTATTTATATATAAAAAGCAAACCCTCTCTCTTCAAGCTTTCGTAAATTTCTTACACTTTTAGTGAAAACGTTTAAATAGAGGCAATCTTCTGAACCTTCTATCATGCCCCATTCATTTTTTTGTACAGGTTTATTCGCAAAGTCCACGCAATCCTTAAGCCCAGACCATTTTTTGACCGGCACCGGCGAGAGGAAACGTAAACGTCCCAAAGGAGGCTCAGCATACGGTATGCCTTCAAAGCCACAATAGCAGTCACCATATAAACCTTGCGCTTTATAACCTCTAATACGACCTTGAGGTAATTCCAGGGTGACATACTCTTTTCTGAAAAATAATTTGTTTTAGTTTTATTTTTCTTTAATTTTTTTTTTGTTTTGTTTTGTTATATAACTGTTGTTTACCCTCTATTGCAATAATTTCGGTTCACCAAAGTTTCGCTAGCTTTTAAATGCTTGGCTAGAGAACAAACATCGAACTGGAAGATTTTAAAAGCCGCTGAATTGAACAGACGCGACATCATGTTCATGTAAAAAGACTGCTTGTCCACAAAAAGATCTCGTGATTTTAAATGATTGATATAGTAAAAAATTAATTAAAAAAAAAAAAATTATATTTGCTTGAAAATCTTGGGCAGAATAATAAAATGTCTTAACTTCGAAAAATGAAATTTGTCTCGATTGTAGCTTTACTAACAAAAAAACTATTATTTAAAGTTTAAAAGAATGTTTAAAACTTATTTAATGAAACTTTTGCTGCCACAAATTGAACGAAATGTGGCAATGTCTTCAATGTCTTCAGAGCAAAGATCTATGTAGAAGAGCAGGCGCCTCTAACCAGATTGGAAACAAGAAGAATTCTTAAACTAAGAATAGTTGGAATACAGATTAATAGTAAAATTGTATTAGTAACATTTTTCAAAAATATTCATGCTATTATGCTAACCTGGACCCTAAAAGACTTAGGTGTCAATTAGGGACAGACTTTTTTGGGAATTCAAGAAGAGATTTGCTGAGAATTTTTTCCCGTTACACTATAGTTTTTATTAGATATCTGAGTAGTGGTATGAACTCTCCTAAAATATATTTAAGCGTTTTCAGCGGTGATTATACCCGCGTCGTAGCTATACCCCAAGTATTCGACAATGTAGAGCTAACCGAAATATCATAAGCTTCACGGTGCGATGGAGGGGCAGCATTGAAGAGCATTTGAAGGACTACGCATTTTAACAGCAAGAGACAGAGAACGGATGACATAAGACCTAGGAAGGCACTTGGATGAGGGGTGATTACAAACGAATATAGGTAAGGAAGGTGGTTAGACAAACAAGTATTAGTAAAAGCTAGTAGTGGAGATTTGAAAGTAGATGGGTTAGGTGTGGGTTTTGCGGAGTAAATTTACGCAAAACCTGAAATATTGCGGTTACAGTTGTAAAGATGAACGGAAATAAATCACTGCAGCCTACGTCACAGCAGAATATGCGTTAAGAAATTCTGGCAATCGTCTCGGCGATTTTGTGGCAGCCAATCAGGGAATGGTATTTATGAAAGCTATCGCTAAATCTAAATATTTAGAAATATCGAAGAAGCGTCGCTCCGTTTAAGAAATAAAATTATTAGCGAACATGGTAGGAAATGATTGGGATAAGACTTGCAAATACAATTAACAGTTCATGATTGCTTGGAACAGATTAGTAAGCAGTGCCTAGATAAATTTCTTTCCAAAAGTATGCAAAGATATAAAGCAAAAACCGGGTAAACTATACTACATTAATTATTAAATAACAAATATCTAAGAACGTGAAGATTAAAGCAAAATGAAAATAAGATCAGAATAAGAAAGAAAGGCAAACGCGCACAAGCTTACTAAACATTCTGCATTGTGTTGGGGCATCCATTTACCAAAGTTTTCTGTGCCTTCGTAGCATAGCGGCGGTGTGTTTATTAGAAGAGTCGGAAGGACGAAAGTGCGTATTATAGGAAAATCCACACAGTGTCGCAAGGTTAACAAGGATTACTAGGACTATAACATTTGAAGGTTATTTCTCCAAAATTAGCTCAATACACAGGAATCAGTTTAGGTTAAGATAACTTTACCTCTACGAAATTTTTTAATTTACAGCGAGTTTGTTTTATAAAACGTCAAGCTGTCGAAGGACAAATTCCTTAAATGGATTGTAACTGAAATGATCTTTGCGGTCGTGCAAGTGCATATCTTCTGCGACAGTGTTGCACACAACTATTACTCAGAACTTTAGAATCCGGCAGTAGATGTAAGTGAATCATTGTGGCATCAGAAGAGACCTGTATGGAAAATCAGTCCTGACTGAATTCCTTAAGGAGCGGCAAAACTAAAATCTGTGAATGTATGTTTTACTTGTGCTGATGTTTGTGAAACTTTTTCCAAAAACTCTATATCTAAACTGAAAAATAAAATCGAGTTATCGAAATCTGTTGTATATGACGGTGGGGTTGTTATTCCGAAAAAATTATTTTTGGGCTTAGTCGTCCCAGCTGTAAGTACGAATAAAATTACGACAGGCAATGGAAACTTTTATTTGAAATTTCAAAGTTTGCTGAATCGATCAATGATGAATTACAGTGAAAATTATAATTGCTTAAGAAATCATTTAAAACCAAATAGTATCGGTATTGTTTCTCATATTATCATCTTTAGTCTATGCCTTCTGTTAGCCACTTGGATAATCACTCGGTTGCTCGATAATGTGATAGTTATTAGAATTCTTTTAAAGTAGATCACATCCTACACCACTGTGTAAAAATGAAAGTAGACTGATGGACACTGGATAGACTGACAAGCTTACATCGATTGTGAAAGTAATTCTGAATCACTTCAGAAGGGTGGATCTATCTCGAGTCCTTCTACCTATTGACAAACCCTTGAAACACAAGTGATAGGATAGGGTAAAAACTCGTTGTGGAAAACCGTTCATTTAAAAATATACTTAAAAATTTTCAATAAGATGAGTATTCCATTTCCATATTTATTTAATAGAACAAAAAGCAAATGTACATAGGAAGAGTTTGTTCGATGGTGTAACTGCTTGCTTAAATGCATCATTTCTTTTGCGAAAGAGGGTATTTAACAGAAAACCCTATTGATGGACAATCTTTAGTATTATTAACTAGTAATTTATATTAAACCCACTTTCTCGTAAAATTTATCCCATAACTTCAGTTTATTGTAACCAGGTTGTTCCATAAATTCCAATTCTTCGCCAATATTCAAGCATTTATATGCTTCTGGATGCATGTGTAGTGGTTCCCATTTAATTGGTTGTATTTCCGGACAGTTGGGATCCGAATTTAAGGCAAAGTTGTACCACATAGCTATCATTCTCTGTATGGTTTTATATTCATTGGTATTAATGTCTAAACTAGTCGTCATCACATTATAGAAGAGATAACATAAATCATCACCATGGCAAGTTCCATATGATTCGGAACCACACATTAAAATACGAACTCGATTGAAAAAGTCTGAGTCGAAATCGAAACGATAACAGTAAGTGGGAACAACTGAAGCATATTTGCGACGTGCTAATATGACACGATGTATACCATGCCAGAAATTGCGGTGCGAAAATAGATGTAAATATTCGTATAAGTTTTGTTTCATAGACAATTTACTAGTTTCGAAATAGGTTCTCTTAAGCTCTAAAGACAATTTCTGGATTTCTTGTGGAGTTCGCGATATTTTCGTTTCTGGCATTAACAATGACGAGCAATCGTCCAGTTCTTCGATAAGGAACGGATACAAATCGACGACAACTTTGTACAAAAGACCTTCATTCGAGACGCCGCCAATCATCAAAGGTATGTTGTTACTCCAAGCTTCCTTTAGACAATCTTTGTAAGATCTACTAATAATACAATGATGGGTTTCGTATGGTTCCACTACAGGAAGAAATACAGCTGCAATGTGATCGAAACGCTCTGCTTTATTTAAAAGACGGTCTTCGGCACCGATCATATATCTTGCTTCTAGCTTGCTTAGAAATCCATAGATATCCCGGTCATTATTATTACCCTGATATCCAAGAGAGCAGGCAAAACGATAATTCCTATCAGCCAAAGTTGTCGTAACCCAAGGGTTTAAAGCGCAACCAGATTGCAAAATAGCCTTGTTGAATAAGCCACGTCCCTGTTCGCTTAACATAAGGAAATGTGCTGAAGCTGCTCCAGCACTTATCCCAAACACCGTTATGTTATTCGGATCGCCATTAAAATTATGTATGTTATCCTTGACCCAACGTAAAGCCATGACTTGATCTTTAAGACCAGCATTACCAGGTATATCTAATTCGGGATCATTAAGGCTTAGGAATCCTTTAAACGAATCAAAAATAATTGAAACGATTTCGAAATTAGATTCAAGTCTTGTGTACTTGCCAAACACTCCAATACGGTAGTTAAAGGTAACCAACACCACATCTTTAAACATAAAATAATCCGGCGAACAACAATCCCGTGTTGCCTCTCCTAATTGAAAGCCACCACCGTAGATCCAAACCATAACCGGCAAAGGGCTTTCGCTATATAGCTACAAATTAAAGGATTTTAATTATGAAATAATTTTTTCGAATCAAACGCTAACTTATATTGACCTTCTTGGTATATACGTTAAGATATAGACAATCTTCTGAACCTTGAGCCAATTTAGGTATGGCATTCCTTTGTATCGGTTTACTGCGGCAATAAGTACAGTCGAGGACATGCTTCCACTGTTCGGGCGGTTGAGGTGCACGGAATCGCAATTCTCCTATTGGGGGTTTAGCG